CTGTAAATTATCTTTATTTTACTATTGAGTCACTTGGATTCTCTCCTCTAATAGATGAAAAGAAGAAATTTTCTCCTTAAAATATACTGTTGGGATAATGAATGGTGAAATAAAAGCAACACCTATTTCGTTGAAATAGTTAAAACATTGATGGAAAAAGAATTAAAAGGCCGTTACGTTTGGTAAGTTTTTAATGATCGCTCTTTTTGTTTCGTTAAAGATCTTAAATAATAATAAACGAGGCATAATAGCCATCAATATTAACTAACTACTTTGAAACTACGAATTTCATTTTGATATTGATAGAAGCGTAAAGAAAATTTTCGTATGATTACAAGTTGTACTATAATAAATTCAAGGTTTTTTTCACAAATTCTTATTTAGCGTAAACATAACACAGCATGAACTGCATTTAATATAACGTGTGGTCATAGCGTCTGATCACAAGTTTGTTCAGCCGAGAACGCTCCTTTTTGAGAGTTCCCGTTTGTTTTATTTTTCAAGAATCAAAATAGAGTAATTGTAATTTAAGCTTAAAATATAGATAATACGAATATTTCCTTTTTTAATTATTCATATTGTCGTACTGAACAACACCAATGAACTGGCTTAATACCTTTCTATATGCACCCCTCCAACCTTAGTATATTTGTGACTTTTCCCCCATAAATTGATCTGCAAAATTTATAGTTACATAAAATTTATCCCCTGATCGATTGTACTTATCCTTACTGGGTTATTAACCAATTTTATGATTGCATTTTAAGGGAATTATATTTTAAGACAGTTTTTATTCTTTACTATAACAATTATCAATATTTTCCTCTAGCTTTGCATTATTATTTTCTTGTTCCAAATTAGTTGAACATTCTATTAATAAGAATTATATGCTAAAGATATGCCAAGATACAAAACGTTGGTTTCGAAATTTCTGATATTTATGATTAAAATAAAAATTCATTATAAACATTTTGTTAATTTCGCATTGTCATCATTTCAAATTAATATAATCAAATCCTAAAATAATCCAATTTCTTTTAACATTCCAGATAGAAGAATATCTTGGCATGTAAATCTGGCCGCGCATAATTTACAAATTCTTCAAATTCTTCAAATTATGAATTATAAGCTTTTGCTGTAGATAACATGTATTTGGTCTATTTGATCTTTATAAAGGGCATCATGATTGATTCCTTTGAAATACATTGATTGGAAATTTATTAATTAAGAAAGGTTTTTTTTTTTTACAAAATGTCCTTAAATTCATAATATTGGTTTCTAAATGTTTTTAAAATGGAAACGAAATTTGGTAAGTAATAAAATTTATTCCCCGGGGGATAAGTAATACACATTAAATAATCAAAGTTAAACTTGTTACAAAAAAGTTTCTTTTATTTTCTTTTTATTAAAAAAAAAAATTATGAGCATTTCATTTCGTTAAAAGCCATGAATTTCAAAGTAATTTTTCTTCACCGATTGAAGAAAGATCAATTCAATGATAATTTCAAAGTATTGGATAATGGGTTAAGTGAAGTGATTGAATTTCATTTATAAAGGCGAGAAATCAATAAGAATTCGTTTATTTTGAGATTTACTTGTTTAAAAAAAGCCTTTAGTTTTATAAATGCGTTTTTATTAATAAATTATTCGGGTTTCGTAATAACTTTCCCCAATTATTGAAAATTGCTTTATTTGATTATCCTTGGTATGATCTTTTGATCGGTTGCTCAAAAATTTTCCCGTAAAAAAAAAAAAATCCGAAACTTTTGTTATAATGTTACACATCAGATAACATAATACAACGTATCTTAATCAAATCGCTTATGAAATCAAAATATAAATTAAATAAACTTGAGAGATTTTCTTTAGTTTTGGAAGACCTAATTTATTCATTGTTAAAATAGTCTTCAAATTATGAGTAGTAAACATTCACGTTTAAAGGGCAGAAAATTGAAGATAGCAAGTTTACCAGAAAATGTACAAGACAAATCCTACAAATCGAAGACTAATTCATGGAGGATGAATGATACTGGATGTTGCGTAAGTGACAATTTTGGAAAATCACCTCAGGAATAAAATTTTGATATAAATAATTTTTATATTTAAAGGAACGTGGTTATTAGATTTATGAGGATTCCGATTTTTTTAGACTTGATATTCAGGCAATATATCCGCAAGAGGTAAAGATTGTTGATGAAAAAAAACAATTATATAAATTATAAAATACTAAGAATTAGGTTCTAAAATTAAATTTTTAATAGATAAAACTCCGAATTTAAATTTTATCGAAGCAGATATATAGGATGGATTACCATTTCCTGATAATGTGTGCACCAACTAACGTAGATCAATGGGATTTTTGTTTTACCTGAGCTCGTTAGGTATAAACATAATACATGTACCTAATACTAACTCATACATTAAAATATACTTTTTAAAACAAAATATCGACGTAAAAGTAATATATGAACATGATTCATTGCTTGAATCACAACCAAACATAACAAAAGTTCATCGAGATGAAAGAGAGATTATTGTAGAACCCAATGGTGGTAAGATTGGAATTGCTTGTCAAGAGAATTTGATAGCATTTTAGTTCAGAGAGGACGATTAAAATTTTAAGTTCTGAAATAGGAATCACTAAAGAGGAATATCAAAGGATGATAGGAAATGAACTTACAAATGAATTAAAAGAAACCAGATCCGAATTTATTAATTTTAGATTATGGGCTCAAAAAACGTAAAATCGTCTTTTTAATAAATAATTTTACCTATTATTAGTTTACCATATTGCTTATAATAATGCTGATTTTTTATTTTTGTAAAATCATGTCATGCGCAAAAAACTATATTGGTTGACAATTTTTGTTGATCATGAAAAAAAAAAATTTACGGTTTGTATATTTTTTTCCCTTTCCATTTTTCCATTTTTTTTTTTTGAGAAAAAAAATATATTATAGCCATTTCCAACCATGGGTAATTATAATACACGTTTAAAGGGTAGAAAATTAAAAATACAAAGTATACCACAGAATATACAGACA